CCCTATTGAACTTTAATTTGAACATACTGAGTTAACACAATACAAATCACTAGGAAAACAATAAATAGTAAAGAATACATTAGATCAGTGTTTCTCAACCTTGGCCACTTTAAGCTGTGTGGACTTCATCTCCCAGAATTCCCCAGCCAGCAGGGCTGGCCAGGGAATTCTGGGAGTTGAAGTCCACATGTCCTCAAGTGGCCAAGGTCAAGAAACACTGTATTAGATTAACACTGAAAGTTATAGATTAAATCAAGGTATGATTTTATAAATAAGAGAACCAGAGCTTCAGATGTGGCAAAAATCCATACATAACATTACAATCCGAGAATGGTTTCGTTAGAATTAAATTCTGCATCAGATATCCGTTTTATATAGGACATTGAAGCCTACTCCCTCATGGCTTCAGACTTTCCCAGGAACCTCTGGGTCCCACTGACCCCTGAGCAGTCACTGGTCCTGCCTTGATCAGCGATGACGTGATGGGCCCAGGGTTCAGGGGTACAAAACCTACCACGGAATACCTAAAGACGATCTGTGGCAGAACAAGCAGAAAAGGTTGGGCCATATATCTGGTCCGGCATAAAGCAGCTACCTATTTTCTGACAATGAGTTCCATGTCAGCTTGAAAGTAGATCGTCTTTTTATGAAAATACAGAAGAAAAATTCTGACTTTTTTTTTTTTAATGCAGGTGCCCTGTTGAAGGAGTAAGCTAATCCAAAGACCAGCCTCTTAGCTTTGCAGAAAGGCCCTAGCGGCACACGCTGGAGCTGAAAAAATATGCCATTCTCAGTAAACAGAGCGCATGCAAACCCTGTCCTTGTTTGGTGATGAATGAGCCAATCTATGGCAGTTGGTCTGTCAGCCTAGCGAGAATGGGTTTGCAAGCAGATCAGGGACCCTCGATCGGATTAGGGCTTGCAGACCCACTGGAGCGTCAGAAATGGAAACAAGGTCCCTAGACGGTGATTCAGCTTCAACAACTGGGTCACGGCAATGCCCACGTGCTGACTGCATGACCCGGTCATCCTCCAGGAGAGACTCCTGCGAGCCCTAATCCGATCAAGGGGTCTGCGAGCCCCCATCCTGCCATGCCCTGCGTTAGCTCCTCCTAAGAAATCAGCAAGTATGATGGAATGGAATTATGAAGGCCAAGCTCAGGGAGACAAACATTTTCTTAGCTCACCGGAACCGCATGGGAGGAACAAGAGGATGAGACTGGCACCTCCCTGAAGAATTCACACTCTTGTGGCTGGAGAACTTTGGGAACTGGGGTTTCAGTCTGGGAAGATTCTT